AATAAAAATGTGTTCTGCACTATCTTTAAAATACTGGTTTTTAAATTTTGGGCTAGAAAAGTGGGGGGGGTCTTGTACATGGGGGCGTCTTATTGTCGGAAAAATACGGTATATGCTCTAAGAGAGAGATACATATATAAAGAAACAATTTAACTCTTTACCTCATATACATTAAACTGTGACTGTCCTCTGGACAATTCCCTATAGCTGGTTGTGAATTCTCCAATAAAATCATGACTAGAGACACAAACAAATATTCACATTAGTAGAATCAAGCATTACAATGGCATATGTTAATATGTTTGCCTAGGCTTTTTTTTTTTTTTTAGAAATTGTACACAATTAATTTTGGAGAGTTATAGATTTCAGCATTTCAAATCTCTATAAAATAAGTAATAAAAGCACAGCTCTGTGCCATGTTCCTCAATGGTTTGCACTTGGCCACTAGCTGACCTTCTGTAATATCATGCTGTTATCACCAGAAATTAAAGTTTCTGTTCAGAAGTGCAGTGCTAATGTCTTCAGTAGCAAATTTTAGGGGCCTGGTGGCAAAGAGACAATTAAGGCAGGCATCATAAAATGCAGTTTCTTAGCTTGTGGGATAGCCAACTAATTGGATAGGGAAGCACATGAATGAATGAATGAATGAATGAATGAATGAATGAATGAATGAATGAATGATCCAAACGTTTAGGTTTAAGTCACTATTTCATCTTTAAAGAAGTGTCAAATGCAACAAAGAAATGCAAGTTTGATGATAAAAATATCATCACTCCAAGCATATTTTCAAAAATTAACTTTTCTTTGTTTGCTAAAGGAAACAAAAATCCAAAGCACATTTCTCAAAAGTGAAGGGGCAAATGAACTGGTAAAATTAAACTGTTGAATGCTGAGTTCTCAGTGTTCTAACAAGATGCCCAGTTTCTTTTGAGTGCTACATATTTTATATGAAAATGCAATTTATTAGAATTATATTTACACATACCAGCATACCCATTGTAGACATGATCTCTATCTATCTATCTATCTATCTATCTATCTATCTATCTATCTATCTACGCATATATATATGAATGATAGCAAAAGTAAGGAAATGTGCAAGCAGTAAGAGTTGCTAAGAAGATCCATGTCTTTCCTATTAATACACATATTTCCATCTTAAAGATTTCAGTCAAATTAATTAGTAAAAATACCTTCATAATACCCCAAACATAGCCAGTATTAAAAATAAGTAATGTTATGCCTTCTGTACATTTAGTGAAGTGTATATAATAATTACCTTCCATCTCTATCCCAGTCATACACTTCTACCTTAATTGTTCTGTAAAGAAACAAAGAAAATATTCTAGACTAAAAAATACATTATTTGAATTGCCCTATCACTGCCAATCACTTTGCTCACAAGGACAATATAATTCATTTATAAAATTCTCAAAATGCCTTTTCAAGAGGCAAGTGTTAAGAGGATGTATAATTGAATCTAAAATCATTATAAAAATCCATTAAAGACAAATCAGTATACTCAAAGGTCTAGCCAATTTTTTTTTATTTGAGAAAAGTATATGTCTTATCTAACCTATCTGATATTCCAGAAGTGGGTATTCAAACATAAAGTGCCACAGGAGAAATGACTCTACCCACCCATAGATACAGTAAAACCTCAGTTTTACAGACCCCTCTTCAGTAGACTTTGGAAACAACAGGCAGATGTAGCAAATCTCAGATGAGATTTAATTTCCAAATAATAATATCCATTGTTTTCAAAGCAGCCCAGGCAACTGCTATAATTTATGTCATTTGATCTATTTATATCATTTATGTAATTACGTAGTTCACACAATTTATATCATTTACATAAAATTATGTACATTATACAAATGTCAAAAAATGAATGATGTAAGCTGATGCAAATGACAAAAATTACATCAGCTGTCTGGACTGATATAAATACAACTTGAACAGACATTTGGCTTTGACAGAACCCTTTTCCCCAAACTGGTCTATATAACTTAGATTTTATTGCAATGAAAGAATGAGGAACAAATATTTCATCTTTTTTTTTAGAAAACTGAAATAATAAACATTCTTTTAAACAAAAAAATTAATATATGGATAAGAAACAACCAAATCTTTGGGCATTAGCACAAAGTTTTCAATATCTGTTCTTATTTATTTGGGAATTTTTAGCAGTCATTCTAAGTTTTTTATGGTTTAGGAAGAAATAAGCATGGGTAGAATGTAGAAGGATCTACAGGTATATGTGATAATTTCCAGTTGTAAAGAAATGGTAGACGAACAAAACTACACTCTATAACATAAAAGTAATGAAATAAAATACTTTTAATCAAATTGTGTAAGTGAAAAAATACTTAAGATTTTTCCCTACCTGAAAAACACATTTCTGTGAGGGTAGGTCCAGTTATCCAAACTTACTTCTCATTCCATAGATGACTGACAGGCAGATGTAGCAATGAGACACAAGTACTGCTGCTAGAGTACATAAAATTATCCATATGATATTTTAGAATATACTAAAAGAACACTGAATAGGAAATATGTGGACTGTTGGATCTACTCTCAGAGAAATACTTTGCAGGAGGAGCAAATTCTTCATGATAGCTATCATTCACTAGAATATTATACAACATTAACCATCTTGCTTAATGTGAATCAACAATTAAAAAATTACATTCATCTTGTAATACTAATAAAGAACTCAGTCTCAGCTTTGCAGATCTCTTCAGAAGAGGCCACAGCCTATACTATTCCTTTGATGAGATGAAGGAATGTTTCTCTGAGGGAATATTTCATTGAATTTCCTGTCATCAACATGGACTTCAGTGTTTCTGAAAACTGCTTTCACCTCTTCCTCATTTCCAAGTCAGATGAAGACTATCATCTTGTCCAGATAGATTTCTTAATGGATCATTGGATCATTTGGAGTAACAATCGCTGTTTTCCTCAGAATTTACTGAGGAAGGCAACTCAGGTATACAATGAAGCTGCTTCTGAGGAATTATGTCTAGCTATTTTAATTGCTAATATTAGATGTTGTCTATATATGGTCAACCATATTGGATCATAAAAAGTTTAAGGAAACAAAGAATTGAAGGTGCAGAAAACTATGTATTTCAAACCACATAGCGTATTAGCATTGTGGATAAGAATAATCTTTCTGGTCCATGTCAATTCCAATCATAGTTTTCATTTAATTGCTTGCTTTCAAAATGAACTATTTTTATTGCTTATTTCATGGCAAATTAAATTATATTTCTCAATTTTCTTCAAGATATTTTTAAAAATAGAATAAGTCTATTCAATATTAAGAATTATGTCTATCGGTTCTCCAAGATCAAAGGTTTTATACTATAGACATGCCCATAATGTATCCCCCCCCCCTTTTTTAAAGTATTTTTCAAGTCAGTCTCAGCTGAGAACTGGTTGGGGTCAACAACTAATTTCCATTTAAAAACAGAACTATTTAAATAATCATGATCTATAATTACAAACATTTGTACTTGTCTAGATAAACATAAATATAGATATAAGTATTACCTCATAAACTGCACACAAATAACTCATAGGATACTTTTGAATTAGTGATTATTTATGTCCTAGATTAATACTTTGCATTTCCATCAATGGATGGCACTCAATTCTCAGGAGAAACATAAAAAGCAAAGAAAACTAGCTAAACTGAAAATGCCCAATTGTGTCTTTTGAGGAAGCAGAGCTCTGGGATATTAAGTGAAAATGCCAAGTGTCATACCCCAACAATTTCCAGAGACGTGTACTTTAAGCAAAATATATGAGTCTGAACAAGTCTCCTAAATATTTGTTTTTTAAAAAATATTAAGGTTACTCTATATAATTCAGCATTTCTACATTGAAAATACATTATTATAATTAATTTATCTCTCTGATTTGGAAAAAAATCTTTGTTCTGACAATGAAATGAAGAAAAGGAAAGCCATTAGATTTTCTACCATGCAAGCACGTAACTCATTTTGTCAAGTGCAAATACTACTTTTTCTTCACTTTGTTTAATTTAGAATACCTTGACAGACTGCTCTGAAACTTTTCTCCTCCATTCTGTTGCTTATAATGTAGCCTGAAGTTTCACACTGAGGTGGCAAAGGGGGAAGAGAAGATAGATCAGTTGAAGTAGCTACTGTATCAATAATGTCGGCAATCACCTAAATCGATTTACTTTACTTATCAGGAGCACTGAACGTAGTACCCAAGATTCATATCTCTTTCACTAGATGTTCATGTGATAGATATTATGAAATGGATGAAAGTACCATATATTCTGTTGATGCTTCTTAGTCTTATTTTTATCCAATCAATTTTAAGCAAGAGGACATTTCCACAAAACTTTAATAAAAAGAGACTTGCTTGAGGAAAGCATCATCATCAATGTTTGCTTTTCAATAACACAGAGCAGTAACTAATTTCTTAGTGCACTAGCAGCAGCGACTTCTTGTTTCCTGAGATTTTGCTTTTTATCTGCTTGTCAATCATCTGTGGAAAGAGCGGCACCTATTATTACACTGAAAATGTTCTCTATTTCCTGTATCTCTTAGGCTGCAGTCCTATGAACACTTACTTAAGAACATTATTTGGAACTATTGGGTTTTCCATCTAAGTAAACATATATTTCAGACTGTGTTGTCAGGTATTCACATTTAATTTAACAAGTAATTTAACAAGTAATATTTATTATGAATTCCAAATTTATATTATGGCTTCTAAAAGGATTCAACTAAAATGAAGGATCTTATAAACATTTTGCCACAGTTAAATAAAAATATTGGCTTACCTGTCATAATCTCCATTACAAAGTGCTCTGATCGATATCTTGAATGCCTGCCATACTGGATTTAATGTGTTCTTTATAACTTCTGTCTTGTGGCAGATTGTGAAACTAAAACACAAAGCCTATTTTTTTAATTTATCTGCCATCTGAGAACAAACTCTGAAAGATGTGATGTGTCATAGTTTAAATGAACATTTCTATTTTTAATCCTGAGAAACCCTCATCTGCACAGTCTTAAAAAACCATGATCAGTGGTAGTAACTAATAGAAAAGATAAATATAACAGAAGTCAAAGCAAGCAAAGCAAGCAAAGCAGTGGACTGTGGTAGCTTTTGAAATGTTTATAGCTTTGGAGGTGATATCTAGTAACAACTGTTCCCTCTACTTAGCATCCCAACCTATCACTGGGGAAATACATATTCTTTCATAATCATAATTATTGGTTCATAATTGAGAACCAATGAGAAATTCATAACAGTGACGTACATTTTTAAATTACAGGGATACTGGTCCATAAAGAAAAGCTGATAACACTATGAAGGTAAAGAGAAACTTTTCACAGACTACAGAGAGAATCCAGTAATCACTGTCAAGTCTCTAAAACTTCACTGAATACTTAGCAGAACAAATGAGACCATTTACCTGCCATCTTCATTGCTACGAAAAAATACCAAGAAGGGATCCGATTTCCCAAAGAAATCTTTCTTGTCTAATTTGTTTGCACAAAATTGCATCAGAACGGCTTCCTAAAAAAATAAAAGGATAATAGAAAGATTAATTCAAAAATAATATGGAGGATTCCATTTATGTAAATAATAATATGCATGATACTAGGCATTTTAATTTTTAATATTCTAATAACTTTAAGGGAAAAATGCCCGTTAAAACATTTATTAGTTTCCTTCTTTTTTATTACTAAGCTGGAACACTATCATAAATTTTAAGCCCAGTCTCACTATTTTCACTACCAAACTGAGAAATAGGAGAAAGGATTTCTTTCCCTCCTGCTTCAGTTACATATATACAATATATAATATTGTATTTTATAATACCAGAGAGCATCATTTTATTTTTTTATTTTTTTACTTTGCTCTCCTGTGGTATCATCTAAGAGTAGAAATAGGTTTTAAGTGCATATACTAATTAAAATAAAAATGGTACCAGAAAAATCACAAAAAGGTAGCAGCAAGGAGAAAAAGTTATAAGTCTATAAAATTCAGCATCTAGATAATTCAGACAAAGAGGGTCTTAAACGGATACTGAAAAATACCAGACTTAGAACTAGACATATGAGATAAAGTGCTTTGGGCTACTCCAACTGAGAAGATACTAACTTGAGTGCCCAAAAACAAAAAACAAAGACCCACAAAAAAACAGATTTATGAGATGGAAAGATAAAGACATATATCAGAATCAGTTGTTACTCCAGGAGCTATGGCAGCTCAGGGGGAAAAACATTAAGTGCATTTCTGAACTCTACTTTTGATTAGCTGGGCAGATAACAAACTGAATCATGATATTCCCTGCTCATTCTCAGTGTTTTGAATTTGGCAGAAATAAAGATTGTTGAAGGAAAACTTCAAAGTGGTTTGGTACTGGAAATGGAGTAAAAATATTGCTATGTGCCCTAAGAAAATTCCAAATTGAGAAAAGCATTCTGTAATCCAGAGGTTGGCTACCTTCTTCACTGTAGAGGCCAGGGGCCATGCCGCCACCACTGCCGCCATTGTTAGGGGATCTGTTGCTCCACCCACACTGAGGCATCTGGAGAAACCATCGCCAAAATGGCCACCCAAAGAGGTAGTGAGTACTCTCTCCCTCTCTCGTGTGAGCTGGGTAAATACAGTATATTTCTTTTTGGAACCACTGGCTGGATAATTTCAGGTGGTAACAGGTTGCTGACCTCTGCGTTTTGAATCATCATGCCTTCTACTAGCAATATTGTAGCTTTGAAGTAGCTCATATTGCAATGAAATAGGACTGTAATTCAGTGGTCATCTAGAAAATAATCCTGATATTCAGAAAAAACATCTTTTGGTTTGTGGATACTTTCAATGTAAAGATTAAGAGTGAAAAATGCTACACAGTATCCCTAGGCTTCTATGGAATCCTAGCAAGATGAGGCCAAGGATCTGTATCTGACCTCTTTTATTTTCTGATGCCAGTGATCATCCTCTCTAGAATCTTTTCAACTTTAGGGAGCCAACATCTTTTCAAGATATTGGTTGCTAGTGAATATAATCTAAGGGGAAAATGCTTGTTCTGACTCCAGTTAACTATTAGAGAACACCCCCCCCTTCTTCCTTCCCACTGATCCATTAGTTCAAGGCACTGTACACTGCTCTCCTTCCTTCCATTTTTCCCCACAACAATCCTATGATATAAGATTGGGCTGAAAGAGAATGACTGATGAAGCCACCTAGTGAACTGAAATTTTTAATTTACCCGGCAACAGTTGAGTTCCTCTGCTGTCAGTATTATTGTGCCACATTTCTTCCCAGGAATTCCTCTGTAAAAAAAGAGTATTGAGAGAGAATCATATAGGTAACTGAAACATAAACGAAAATAAGTTTCCAAACAAATAGAACATCCAGGTGATTTTTATCAAACTTGTTTGCTCCTTCATATATAGCTCAACAGTACTAACATATGCTAACATATGTTAAAATGAAAGCATACAGAAGAAACAGAGGGACAATGTACCAGTGACCTGCAGTTCCTTAAATTTTAATTTTTTCCAGCCTTCAAAAAGTGATTATTTTTTCCCAGCCTTCAACAAGTGATGATTGGAGCTAATTGACCAAGATAGGCTCACAGAGAAACTGAAAGCAAATGTAATAGAATAGGTCCTCTCCCTATTTGGTACAGAAGTTAAAGTGGATGTTAATTAACCATTTTTCTGTTTTCTGGGGCACAAAGTGCCTTTTTTCTCAAAATGAAGGGGTATTTTTTAATTTCTTTTTTTAAAAAACAAAACACAATGAATTAAAAGATGGTAGGTTGAATACTGTTCACAATTCCCAGCATTCTGCTTAATGTACCAGAAGTGCTTTGTTTACTTATTACATTTGGAAACATACTCTGCCTACCAATACAAAAAAATATATTAAAATTACTATTGAAAGGAAATTTTAAAATTGTGAAGTTAAAAAAAACCTATAGCAAGATTACACAGAAGAGTTTTTCCTGCTCACACAAAGCAGAGTAAGGGAGAATGTTCTTCAGTTAGGGAAGACTGTGAATATATATATATTTAAATCAGAGTAGATTTGAGAACCATAACTACAACAAGGTATCCTTGCTGTAGAGCAGATTCACAACACATCTTTAATACAATAGCTACTTGGAACACTTCTGTGCAGAGTGACAGAAAAATCATATTCAGAATCCATGACTGAAGTACTAATGTTACTAACTTAGCATTCAACAAAACAACCTACAACAATGCAGGGAAATCTATTAGACCTTAGAACTACAGGGAAGGAAGAACAGTATCTATCAACATCTGTTACTTTCCAAATAAATCCTATTGCCTAATATTTCTCTTCTATATTACCCAACTTCTTAGTAGTGTAAGTTTTTTTTAAATCTTTGACTATTTATATTTGTATTATATCCATAATTTGTCCAATAGCAAATTATGCAAGACCTCTTTTTTGTTTGTTTCAATGAGGAGAAGCTGAGGCTGAGAAGAGATTTTTAATAACTCTGCCATGTAATCTATTATTATAAAGGCTATAAGTCAACTGAATGTAGCAGAGATCTCAGAAGAGATGTAAGCAGCACAAAGCGGGCCAAGCCAAAAACTGAAAATTACACAAAGTCAGACTGCTCAGTCCAACCACTCTCTCAGACACACCCAAAAGCATGCAACAAGCAAATGTATTCAACAGCTTGTCATATGTTCAGGAGCATACAGCAAGCAAGCATGAACAACAATAATAAAACAGAGAAGTGTATCCTATGAAAATATACAAAGCAACACTTAGGAGCATGCCCCAGTCAATTAAGGACCAGAATATGAAGCAGTAGTAAGCAAGGGGAAATGGCATGGAGACATGCATTATTACATATACTGTATATAAATTGTATATACAAATATTGCAACATATGAGAACATACTACATAAAAACAGAACTATAGCGTAGTAGATGTAAATGTGCAAGAATGCAGCAAATGTAAATACAGATAACCAGCAAAGACTTGCCACATGTTGACAACATGCAAGAGCCCAGCACATATAAGCATTAAGCTTAGCATAACAGTACAGGTAGTCCTCGTTTATCAACCACAATTGGGACCTGCAACTTGGTCTTTAAGGGAAGCGATTGCTAAGTGACTGTGTTTATGATCTTACTTCAGCTTTCCTTCGCTTTACAGACCTGCAAAGGTCATAAATGCAAGAACAGTTGCAAAGTTACTTTTTCATCACCTTGTAATGGTCACTAAATGAGTCAGTCACCAAACAAGGATTACCTGTACAGCACTTAGAAAGATATCCAGCCACAATAAAAGAAATACACCATAAGCAGCAATATGTACCCTACATACTCCCACAGCAACATATATCACACCAAAGGATATGCATGCAGCAATACATAGTCACACCAAATGAAGGCAGCAGCTACTCTCCCTCCATCAACAAATACACACTTCTGCAGCCTACTCGTGTTGGCCATTTTTGCTTTGGCAACCAGGTTCCACCAAGGAAGTTTCAATCTGCTGAACAGATATGTTACATTTATAATTCATGGACTTATTTAAAACAAAGTCTTCTTCATAGCAATAGGCACGTATTTTTATCTAGGGAGATATACTCTTATAGTTTTTGATTTTTTGACATTATATACATTTATATAATATTATATGACAAAAAGAAAATATTTTGAAGTGTTTAATTTTATTAAATATATTTATATTCAACCCTTCATATAAGTCTATTTCAGGCAGCTCTAATTTACAATAAATACAATTTTAAAAATCAATACAAAGGTATCATACATTCAAAATCAATTCAACAATTACATTTAATTGGACAGGGATCAATATATGTGCTGGAAGGAAATTTCACAGCTACAGGGTCACAGATGAAAAAGCCCCTTCTCTTTTGGGTGGGAAAACAACTATATCAAACAATGACCTTGCTGGGGTATAATAATTATCTGTAGTTTCAGATAAACATTATGAGAACCAATAAGCATTATGAAAATATTATGAGAACAAAATTGGGCTTACATATTCTTCCTTCTCTTAGCCTTGTGTCTGAATGTACACAAAGTGAAGTGAAAGTGAAAAACTTCGATAATCTGTACTGCTGATATTTTAATATACAGTCTCTCTCAAAAACATCTACTGTCTCACATGTATATGGATATAGTGGTGATCTTTACATTATTAGGATGCTGAAAAACCTATTCACTTTAGATTGCTCTATATACACTACTCTAATACAGAATAAGCATAAATTAATAGAATAATGTTACCTCTTCTGATTCTTTTTCTACAATTCCTATTTGTCAAACACTAGAGATCATCTGCCTGACCCAAACAATATTAACCATTATTAGGAAGCTCTTCAAAAACAAAGAACATTTAGCATCAATCATACACACTATAATGAAGTATGTTTTTCCTTTATGAGTTTGCTGGCAAATATTAACTTTTAATATTATTACAAATCTTACAAACATTTAGGCACTTTTTGTATGCTAAAATAAATATAACAATAGTGCTACTAAATTTATATCTTTAAAATTGTGCTTACATAACTGGTTTTTCTAATCTGCTTCCTTGTGACCCAACGATCTCTCCTAATGTACAGAACACTTGTCCCAAGAAATCCTAAAAATCAAACAAGGTTATGGAGCTTAGACATTGTTCCATCTTCACTAGTCCATCCATATTCAGTTTAATTAAGTTTATGAGCACAAGAAATGCAATGCTTATGAACAATTAAGTTATACAAATTATGTCTGGATACAATAATAACTATGGTTTATGAGTACAGAATGAGCATAAGCAACTCAAGGGCTCAATGCACATACTCACTGCTCTCAATCATTTCCAAATATTTATATGAAATTTGCTACAGATATTCCTCATTTGCACTGAATGTATTACCACATTTTATCTCAAAACAAAAAAGCTGCAGGTACTTTTTAAAAAGACATTTTTTTAAAAAATCATGTTTTAAATGGCAAGCTTAAAAACACTGTTCCAATATCTCACATTTGGCAAACTTCACCCCCAGATCATGATCTTTCTTGTTAATTTCATCCCATTTTGATAGACAATAAAAACATTTTGTTTCCCAAGTGGATCTTAATTTTACTTAGTTATTTCCAGAGCCCCAGATCCAGCCCTTGAAGCAGATTTAGAAATACAAAACCCTAAATTTATGTAAATCAATAAAATAATCCCATGTGATGACCAGATTTCCCCACCCCATCCCCCTTTGTGTTTTGTTTTGTTGTGTCCCTTTGAGTCAGTGTTGACTCCTGGAGACTGCCTGGACAAGTCCATACAGTTTTCTTGGCAACATTCTTGGAAGTAGTTTGCCATTGCCGTCTTCCTACAGCTAAGAAAGCATGACTGGCCCAAAATCACCCAGCTGGCTTTGTGCCCAAGATGGTACTAGAACTCATAGTCTCCCAGTTTCTAGTCTGGTCCCTTAATCACTACACCAAACTGGCTCTCAGATTCCCAATTAAAAGAAAAATATTATATGGATAAATTTATAAATATAAATTTATAAATATAAATTTATAAAGCACTTACATGCTTTGAAAGGTTTGGACTCTTGGAATCAACATCATACCTATAAAGAAAAAATAGATTTATTTGCTCCAATATTTTCATGCAAAAATATTCAAGAACATATTGGGGTTTTGGAGTTCTTGCTTTATAAAGCTAGTATAGTAAGAGAAACAATAAACAAGATAACTTTCTGTGCAAGAAACGTATTTCCAGTTTTAACTTAACCTTGCAATCAAGTGCAAAATCAATTACATATCTCCAAAATGGAAAACCAGCCAACAAACAAAAAAATGGTAAACAACATGCATAGCACAAATAGGAAGTAATTGGAAATCTCTGATTCTAACTAGCATTCCAGCGCATTTGATAGAACATACATGGTATCACTGCTACAAAATTGTGTTTGTTTTCTGACTGTACACTGTTATAATACCTATTTAAGCACTGCTGCACAACTTTAGTACAAGGCCCACATTGGAAGCACATTAAAAAATTGGGTGGGGTTAGGGCCTCAAGTTTTGAGATGTTTTAGCATTTATAAGGGATAAAATGTTGCCTTATAAATTTGTCTCTGCAAATTGTATGCCACCCATTTTGCTCCACCTCCCCGAAAAATGTCAAAACACAACAATAAAAACTCTACTGAGTTGGGAGAAATGGCTGTGATGCCCATGTGCAAGAGCTTCACTGGCCATATGGAGCCCATGGGTGGTGTTTATTGCACCTCTATATTGAAGAATCCTTATATACATTTACAACAAAAATGCGTATCTCTTTGAAGGGTTTACTGCATATGTCCATTGCACACATTGTTTATTTATAAATCACATTTACAAGCCACCCATCTCTTTGTGACTCTAGACAGTGTACAAGTTAAAAACTGCACTCAGTACAGTAAAAACCAAAAGACAATAAAAACCCAGGGACTAAAACACTAATGCACAGATAAAATTCTGACCCTTTTTCCCTCCCTGGGCATATACCACAGGAAACAGTCAGGTTTTCAAAGCTTGTTTAAAGGACAGGATGCTTGGAGCAACTTGAAACTCTGGGGGAATGCTGTTCCAGAGGGAAAGCACCATTAAAAAGACAGCAACTATACGAGTCCCCTCAAATAATACTTTTTAAAGTTGGTAAACAGTACAGCTGCTCACTCATTTCTGTTTGCTTTTTTCCAAGCAATCAAGCAAGACAAATGATAAATTATTGTCAGGTGACATCAAACTTATATTCCTGGCTTCCCAAATAAACCAAGATACATGTCAGCAAAACCTAGTTTATGCCCCCATATTCAAACTTACTGCTAGTTATACTTACTCAAATGAAGTAAAAATGAACATGCTGTAGGCAGCATGAACTAGTAGAAAACCACAGAAAATCATAATAAATCAGGAACTGTGACAGATCTTTATATGAGAATGCAGACATTGAGAGAAGTCGCTGCTATAAGTCACATAGTAGCTTGAATTACCAATATGAACTATTGTTGTTATTATTATTCACTTTGGAAGATTTGTGATTGAGAATGTCTCATTGACAACAACTAATTCATGTTTTGTTCATTATTTTAGGTTAGAGGCAGAGCTGAAACTACTTTGGATGCCAACAAAAAACTGCTGGGATGAAAAGAGCTTTCAGGTCCGAGCAAAAATCAATATGTTTAAACTGCCTTCTTAAGTTAAAGTAAAAATCCAGTAAATTGTCTGCAGGCAGAATGTGCTTTTGAACATTTAAAACTGAGCTTCTCATACAAAATTAGAGTTAGAAATTCCAAGTCTTATTTATAACTTATTTAGCAAGAAAATATATTTAAAAGTTTTCTATTTTTCAATTTGAGACATTTACTCTTCCAAAAATTGGCCTAATAAAAAAAGATATTGGCAATGTTTCTGTGTTTAATTCTGCAAAGCTATGCAAACATTGGCCAATAAGAAGATCATAGAGTTCATTTCTGACTCTCGCCACTTAAATTATATGTCTGCGCTTTATCTTCTGGCAGGAGAAACAACAGATTGCGGTAATATTTACTGTTTCCTCTCCCTCAACTATCTGGTTTCTAAAAAAGTAATTCATTTTATTGGAAATTTGTTTATTATTTCATTTATTTAAAATATTTCTTGGCTATATGGAAGAACCAAAGCCCCTTTCCTGATGTCTTATGGAATATAATTATGTACAACAGCAAAACAGAAGTTAATGCAAGCAACAAGTTAATGCAAGAAGTGAATGCAAGTAACAAACTTCCAGCCCAATGAGTTTTAAAATGTAGCATATAATAAAACAAAATCAAGAAAAAGTGAAAAAGGGCAGATGGCTCTTGAACTTTCCTAAAACCTTATTATTGTATCTGACAGACATCAGGCCCTCTTGTGAATTTCCAAGTTAGTTCACTCTACCAGCAGCAACCTGAGCTTCTTTGGTTATAAAAGCAGCAGTAGCAGAATACAATGAATATGAAAACATAAACAGGTAGTCCTCATTTAGCAACTGCCTTGTTTAGCAACCATTCACAGTTTCAATGGCGCTGAAAAAGTTACTTTACCACCAAACCTTGCATTTATGACCTTTGCAGGTCTGTAAAGCAAAAGAAAGCTGAAGTAAGATCATAAGCAAGTCGTGGTTTCACTTAGCAACCGCTTCACTTAACAACTGAGTTGCCAGTCCCAATTGTGATCGCTAAATGAGGACTATCTGTATTTACAACTTATTATAAGAAACCCATTTACAAATTGCTGATTTTGCACAGCTACCTTTGATTATACTAAGCTTTCTCCAGAATATTAGA